GACTGAGAAAGGCCAACTTCTACAAGACGCTCGAGTGCGAAATGCAAAAAGCGTGGACTAACATAATGTACCATGATTTTACAAATAAAAGAGAACAGAAGGAAGGATGTGAACTATAGGAGGTATCAGAAAGAGAGGGAGCAGGAAGGAGGAAGAAGAGAAGAAGAGCACAGAAGGGAAGGAGGGAAGGAAAATTCTTTCATCCCACAGTATCATTTGGCGGTCAGTGAGGAACTCGTGCTTTAAATACTAAATATAATATCATGTGTCATAGAAAATCGATGCTAAATTTTAACCCTACTCTTCTGTCATTCTGTTGACCTCTCAGTTTCTACATGCTGATATTTGGTAGGGGCTTGGGAAAATGAGGGTGGAACTCTTCCTCATGAAATACTGTTATCAGAGTCCCTAGGACCAGTTTGAATTCTGATGCTAGTTACCATTTACTGGAAGTTAATTCTTAGGGTTCATGTACATTTTTAAGATTAAATTTTCACTTCTGACGAGCTTGAAAGTCGTAAGAATAGCCTAATTTTGCTAATTGTCTGCCTCTTATTCCTCTCGTTCTCTAACTACTCAACACAGGTTATCAGTCTTGCAGTATTGGCCAACCAGACGCACTTCCACATTTGGTATTTTTCTGTACCTTTTGGTGTCTTCAGAGACAGCATCTTGTGCTATTAGAGTGATTGCCATCTTTCCATCGTAATAAAAGTTCTCTTTTTTATCTGAAATGGTTCCTTCCAGCAGTTAAAAAGCTTTCCTGCATTATTTATCTCTGGCCATTGAAGGATTCTATCTGGAACAATATTCAGTAGACTCGGGCCATCCATTTTAGAGACTCTGGTTACTAAAGTCCTACAATGATCTTCTCAATAAGTTGGTGCCATTTATCGATCATAAGAGATGACTTCCCTACAAAACAGCAACATAAAATGACTGAATAAGCAGGTATTATTTTAGTTCGCTTCTCTTTCTTTTTCCCCTTTGTCTTTTATTTTTTCCTCTCTTTCATTTCTGCAAATCCGTGGGTCATTTTATTGTGTCTTGACAATTACTTGGGGTTGGGGAAGCGCGATATCCTCTTAGCAGTACTTTGTTTAGCAAAGGGCTGGTGATAGTTTTGAAAAATCACTCAGGGGTGCCTGGGTGCTCAGTCGGTTGTTCATCGAGCTTAGCTCAGGTCAGTGATCTCATGGTTCATGAGTTTGAAGAAGCCCCCACCTCGGAGCCTGTGCTTTGACAGCTCAGAGCCTGGAGCCTAGCTTCAGATTCTGTCTTCTCTCTCTCTCTCTGCCCTTCCACTGCAGCTTGCATGTCTGCTCTCTCTCTCTCTCTCTCTCTCTCTCCTCTCCAAAAATAAATAAACATAAAAAAATCATCCTCCAAAACTTGAATAAGTTTTTTGGTCAGTAACTCAGATAATATGCCGTAAAAAAAAGAAACACTTTATTTAATAACAGCTACTACTGAATATAATTCTACCAATATCATAGTTCATCATCATAATGTGACAATTCGAGTAGGTTGTGCCATATTCAGAGTTGTCTTGTCCATCACCACTACCCAATTTGAACACTATCACCAAAGAAACCCCACGACCCAGTTGGGTCAAGTAGGCACTTCCACAGCCACATCAGCACCTAGCAACCGTTTCCTTCTGTCTCTGTATGAGATGCCTTTCGGACATTTCCTATAAGGGACTCATCAGTAGTGTGGTCTTTGTGACTATTCTTTTACTTAAAGTAATGTATTCTGGCATGCAGAGAAAGCTGGTGCAGCCACATCTGGAAAACAGTATGGAGGTTCCTCAAAACACTAGAAATAGAAATACCTACATGACGCAATTGCACTAGAAGCATTTATCCAAAGGATCCAGGTGTGCTCTGTTTGAGAGGGACACATGCACCCCCATGTTTTGCTGAGCACCATCAGCAAGCAAAGAAATTATGTGAAGACCCAATGTCCATTGATGGATGAATGGATAAAAGAATGGGGTATATTTATCAATGGAGTATTCCATAATCAAAGAATAAATGCTTCCTCTGCAACTTGGGATGGAACTGGAAGGTGAATGCTAAGTGAAGTTAGGAAAAGGACAGAAAATCATATGACTTCACTCATGAAGGACTTTTAAGACACAAAACAGATGAAGCGTAGGAAACAAATTATATATAAAAACAGGGAGACAAAACATAGAGATTCATAAATATGGAGAACAAACCTTCGAAGAAGGGTTCAATGGAGGGTTGTGGGAGGGATGGGCTATTTGGTCAAGGGAGCCAAGGGAATCTACTCTGACAATGTGTTTGCCCTATATAGCTAACTAATTTGGATGTACATTTAAAAATAAAAATTGAATTAAAAAATAAATAGTAAAAGAAAATGCCAACATAAAAAATAAATAATGTATTCCAGATTCAATCTATGTTTTAGCTTAGCTCCTGGGTGGCTCAGTCAGTTCAGTGTCCAACTCTTGGTTTTGGCTCAGGCCGTGATCCCGGTTTGTGAGCTGAGCCTCCTGGACCAAAAGCTGCAGTGATTCTCTCTCTCTTTGCCCTCCCCCAACCCTGCTTGCTCCTACCCGCTTGCTCCTCTATCTCTCAAATAAACTTTTTAAAAGATTCCCTTTATGTTATAGTGTGCGTTGGTACTTCATTTTAAGGCAAATAATATTCTGTGTATAGATACACAATGTTTTGTCTATTTTTTATCTGATGAACATTGTCGTTTCTACTTATTTGATGATTGTGATGAGGCTGCTATAAATATCTCTTGGCATAAAGCTTTCGTGTGGACATTTTTTCTACTTCTTCTTGGGCATACTCTTAGGAGTGGAATTGTTGGTGTTAAAGTGCTCTATGTTACTTTTTGAAGGTACAAACTTCCAAGCAGCTGCAAGATTTACATTCTCAGATGGGGTGAGGTTCAGTTTCTCCATTCTCTCATTCTCAAATTTGCTCATCCACTCTGGTGATGTGATGATTGAGCACTCAGTGTGGTTTTTGATTTGCATTCCTCATGACTAATGATGGTGAGTGTCTTTTCAGTTTTGATTTTATGACCATTTGCCCTATCTTCTTGGGCAAAGTATCTATTCAAACTACTTGACCGACCTTTCATAAGGGTTATTTGTCTT